TTATTATTATTATTATTATTGCAGGATAAATAAAATTAATCTAATTTCAGCATGCTTAGGGATCTCTATTATAAAAAATGCCCGTCTCCTCCATTTCAAATTAAAATAATTATTTGTCTTATTTAAAAAGAAAGATGAGAAAAGAAGGAAATTTTCCTCCCCTCAATACCAGCCGAAATGGGATTGGATAAATTAAAATTAAAATTTTTAAATATTTTTATAAGAAACAGGAAAAAAAGATCCTTTGACCAGCTTGGTTATTTAGGCAGAAGGGGGGGAAAAACCGAGGTCGGATAAATTGAAACTTAGACTCCGAGGAGGCGCCCCATCTGGCAGGACTTCCAGCGAGCTCGCCCGGGGCAAATTTCCGCTGAAGTCCGTTAGAATCTCCGGCAGGGCTGATGGCAGCCAGACGTTTTGCGCTTCCTCCGCAGTAACTGCCCTGGCTGGTCGTGGAAACGCACAAAAACACGGGCTTGGCCCTGTACGAAACGCCCTTCCCTTCTCCTCCTCCCCGCTTAAATTTCCTTCATTTTTTCCCTTAAAAACAAAAGCAAAAACTAGAAAATCTCGGAGGAGTAACGTGAGCGGCCGTTTATTTTGTTAGCAGAATAGTATTATTATACTCGTGCTTTAAAAAAAAAAAAAGCTAATTTTTGCTTTCTAAAAAGAGTTGAAAAAGGAGCTGAGCTTTCGTTCCTGGCGGCGGGAATAATTCGTTATTTATTTACACCCTTATTTATTTTACTGGGTTTATCCCACCTTCGTACCCCCCACGCAGGCCTCCGTTTTGCTTTTTCCGTCGTCCCCCCATCCCACTTTTCCGTGGCACAATCTATACTGCGAGACACACAGGGAGAACAGGAGGCTCGGGTGGGTTCACACGACACGGCTAACTCGATTTTTAAAAAAACAAAAAAACCCAGTTTCGGCTTCGCAGACTCGCAAGAAGGGCTGGATTCTTCTAAACTGGAGCGGGGATTACAGCTACCCGTGTCTGACCGGGGTAAAACGCGGCCTGTTATGCCCCAGCTCTGATCTGACCTGACTCTGTGGGTTGTGAGAAGGCAGCCAGAGAGAGAAATGGAGAAGGGATTTAGGCGCTCGCTGGCCGAGCCTCTCTCCGGGTTGAGCCCCTGGGGAGGGGAGAAGCGCTCGGATTCGCCACCGGTTCGGCCGGGAGGGGAGGGCGATATGGCCTCCTAGCTTTACCCCTTGCCCCCTTGCCGTATTTAGGTATTTCCCGGCAAGGTTTCCCAAGCCGGACAGTTGGGCGAACCCCTGGTATAAGCGCCGCTTTTTCCCCCCCCTCCCGCAGCACGCCATGCCGTCGGTCAGCAGCGAGCGAGCCGCCCTGTGCGCCGGCTGCGGGGGGAAGATCTCGGACCGCTACTACCTCCTGGCGGTGGACAAGCAGTGGCACATGCGTTGTCTGAAGTGTTGCGAGTGTAAACTTAACCTGGAATCCGAGCTCACCTGTTTCAGCAAAGACGGCAGCATCTACTGCAAGGAAGACTACTACAGGTAAGGGGTTTGGGAAGGAGGGAAAGGGGATTGGTCTGGCCTGCGGCGGCGGGGGGAGAGGGCTGGAAGCTCCCCGGCCCGTTCTTCTTTAGGACATACCTGCCTGCTCACCTGGCCCAGCAGCCGGCTTTATCCTGGGCGCCGCTCCGAAAGGGCTGGCGCTTCCCGGTGGGACGGGAGAGAGGGTAGGGCAGGGTGCTTTCCCGCCTGGTGGAGGCGCTTCCCTTTCTTACCCCCCCCCCCCCACCGCCCCCCCCGCGAAGAAAGGGCGGGGCGCCTGTTCAGGTGAAGATCTCAAAGAGTTCTCTTTTTTTCCCCCTCCCTTCTCTCTCTGGCTGGCAGGAGGTTCTCGGTCCAGCGCTGCGCCCGCTGCCACCTGGGCATCTCCGCCTCGGAGATGGTGATGCGCGCCCGAGACTCGGTTTACCACCTGAACTGCTTCACCTGCTCCACCTGCGCCAAGATGCTGACCACCGGCGACCACTTCGGCATGAAGGACGGGCTGGTTTACTGCCGCCTGCACTTCGAGGCGCTGCTGCGGGACGAGTACCAGCTCCACTTCAACCACGCCGAAGGGGTGGGCGGCAAAGGCCCCGCGCTGGGGGCCGCCGCCCCGCTGGGCCTGCCCTACTACAACGGCGTGGGCACCGTGCAGAAGGGGCGGCCCAGGAAACGGAAGAGCCCGGGTCCCGGCGCTGAGCTGGCCGCCTACAACGCAGGTAAGAGGCCGAGCGAGGCGGCGGGAGAAAAAGAAAAAAAAACGGAAGCTGCGCCCTCCCGGTTTTGCAAAGTTTTGCGCCGCGCTTGGTTCGGCCGCCGCGCGTTTGGGACACCTCGGTTTGTCGGGAGAGCGGGCCAATTGGAGGTTTTTTTGGGGGGTGGGAGAGCGGAGGCTCACATCTCCTCCTCCCCCAGCGCCTCGGCCTTGAACTCGCCCTGAAATTGCGGGCTTGGGACGTTCCCACGTTAGGAATAGCGGCTCTCCGCTTGTAGACAAAGGGAGCTTTGGCGAGGGGCAGAGTATTATGGGCCCCGGGCAAAGCAGTGTCCTGGGTCCCCTACGACAACCACTCACAGGAATAAAAATATAAATGGCCGATAAAATGAAACATATATTTTCATGTTAGTCTTCGTTAAAAATGCAGTAAAACGTAATAAATACGTTGCTGTATTTATGTGATACAAGGTGCATCGAAGGGTTAACAGGCACAGATTAGTATGGGGCCCCTGTGCCTCGTGGGGCCCGCGGGGTGGGGTGGGGGGCTTCTTTTAGCCTCCATGTTGGAGCTGCGGGGTCTTAGCTGCCTAAGAGACGAGTTGGGGGGAGTCCCGGGTTTCAGGAACGTGAGGAACGTTTCGCGTTTCCTGCGGGATGGGATCGGGTTGAATTTTGGCCGCCGTATTGCCGGGCCGAGTAGAGCTTTCCCGGAGGGTGGCTCGCCTGAAAAGGGATCGGGGGCCAATGGCGCGGGGGGGGGGGGGTTTATGCGTGCGTGGGGTGGGAGAATAGTTCTGGGAGGCAGGAGCGTTAATCCCGGGTTGCTGCCGGCGAGCTAAGAAAGGAACGCCGTCGTTTCTCCTGTTTGCGGATCCGTCTCGGCGTCCTGACTTCGGCGAGAACTCGTGTCTTCAGGCAGAGAGAGTGTGCGGGCGCAATCCGGGGCGGAATAGCAATGGGGGGGGGGGGGCTGGATAGTAAAGAAGCATTTTTTTAAATTTCGTTCCCTCGAAACCCCCCCTTTTACAAGCACCTTCTCCCCCGCCCCGCTCCTGGGAAAGTTTATTCTTCACCAACCGGGCGCCCGCCTGCCCTCCCTCCCCCCCCCCAAAAAAAACGCCGTAGTAAAGTTGGGCGGGGTGAGAGAGCAGTGTGAGCTGCGTGCTGGTGGGCAGAAAGGGCCCCCCCTCCGTCCCCCACCCCAATTGCAAACCCGGGAAAGAATGAAACCCCTTTTCCTTGGCGGCGGCCGGATCCGAACGCCAGTCGCGTCTTGGTTCCGTTTCCCCGTAAAGGTTGGGCGGGGAGGAGGGGGCAGGAGAGGAGGAAGAGGAGGAGAAGTTTGATTGAAGGCGCCGACGAAGAAGAACGGGAGGTGAACTCACCGGGCCGTTTTGTTGGCGAGTGGAAACGGGCGCGGGAGCCGTTTTCCTGGACGCGAATCGAGTCTGACAAGCGGAAAACGGCTTCGGAGGGGGCCGAGATTTCAAAGAGAATTCCCCCCCACCTCCATTGCCCCAAACGATTTGCGCGGGTCCTCTCTCCCTCTCGCCACTTTTAATACTTTCTTTCTTTCTTTCCTTCTTTCCTTCCTTTCATCCTCTCTCTCTCTCTTTCTCTCTCTCTCTTTCTTTCTTCCTTTCTTCCTTTCCTTCTTTCCTTCCTTTCTTCCTCTCTCTCTCTCTCTTTCTCTTTCTTTCTTCCTTTCTTCCTTTCCTTCCTTCCTTCCTCTCTCTTTCTCTCTCTTTCTTTTTTCCTTTCTTCCTCTCTCTCTTTCTCTTTCTCTCTTTCTCTTTCTTTCTTTC